GTCTCCTTCTAGGAGAGTTAGATCAAGGTAGATTCTAGAAACGCCGATGTTCTGCAGGAAAAAAGCATTCAGGAGACCAAAGAATGTAGTAGGATCTCTAGGCGGGCCACAACATTTATGCTGCTTTGCCTTACATTTGGGATTCCAATCACCAAAATACTGCTTCCAAAGACATCTGCCATGTTCTCATCTTGGGAGGCCGTGCTGTTGCCTACTATGGGGGTTTTCCTAGGCAGATGTTGAAGTAGTTGTGGCTTCCATGGGCGAGGTCATGCTGTCGGTACACAAGTGGTGAATTGCGCTGGGGGTGGTATGATGTCGGTACAGGTGTTTTCTCCAAGGGAACGTTGAGATGGTACGTGCTAGCAAACACATCCCGATAATTAACCAAGCACTTCTTCCAATCTACAGCGCACCTCCTGGTCGGCCATGTTGACATCGGCCCTTTGCAGGAGCCTTGGAACAGAAGCCCTGCTAGGCCACCCTCCTGGCTCTGACCGCATTGAAAGTCTGTTTGCAAAGGACCGAGTCACAGCAGCTTCAGCAGCGCCACATGGCCCTCTCCGGCCAAGAAATGCCTAGGCTCATTGTGCTTTTGGAGGGCTTTTGCAAAGCATGACACGCTTCATCCTTTACCTTCACTGTAATGGACCAGTTGCAAAGGATGCCCTCCAAAAGCATCCATTGCATTAGCATCTGCCTCCCAGCCGCTGCGCAAAGTTGCACGGTCTAAAAGCTCCTCAACGGCCTTCAGAGCAAGGAGCTGCTGCGCCACAGCGGTATGCCCTGTGGCTGCTGCCCAATGCAGCGGAGTTGTTCCTCACAGTGTGTGGGAGGTGCTGATGCAAGTCTCACAGAATTCAGGCCTTGCTCATCCAAAGCATTGCCCAAACGTCGTACCAGGTAGGTCACCACAGGACCATGGCCACGAGCAGCAGCCCAGCGGATGGCATGGGCAGCAGTCTCGTGGGCTGTTTCCTGGGTGCGCAGCAGCAGCTTAACCAAGGGAAGATGGCCGTTCCAGGCTGCCCATTGTAGCGGTGACAAGCCATCTTCATTCAGCATGCCTGCACCAGCAGGCCGCAGAAGTTCAAGGGGCTCCATAGATCGCAGAGCTGCTTGAGCTGCGCGAAGATCTCCGGTAACGCTCGCTCGATGCAGCGGAGGCAGCAGAGACACAGATCCAATAAATCCAACGCCCACGTTGAAACTACTGAGGCCGCATGTCGCATGTGCCCAGCGGTCAGGCACATACATGATGTCGGATGGCCCAGTCACACAGCGCCGCAGTTGCAGAGGACCGTCGGAAGTTTGAATTTCAATTTTCCCAGCCTTCCTGAAGAGGCAAGGCGTGGGCAGCGCATCAGCAGGAAGCTCGCTGCCGGCCGCACCAACTAGCCACCTGCTGCAAAGTCGAAAAACAAGCAGGAGAGTGCAAAGGCAGAGGAAAGGCAGCCAAGGCACAACTTCCTGCCATATACCTGTGCCATCCAGGCTTCTTCATGCCTGTGTTTGCTCATGATTTCTGTGCGCATGCAAATCAGATACAAACATAATTGCTGCGCAGACATGATTTTGATACTACATTATCATTATACGCACAACATTATGTCTGCCTGTGCTTGCGGACATATGAAGCCACGCAAGGATGTGCGTTCACTCTGTTCCCGTGCCTGTGCAAGACCGCAGTGGAGCCTCTTCCTCCAATGCTCACACTGGGGCCATGCAATCGCAGGTCCCGCAGCTCTTCCGGAACGTGCACAAAATCACGAGCTTCAAAAGCCACGCCATGGTGTGGCCTCAAGCTGCCAGTGGTGACCAAGTGCTTAGCAAAGATGGGGATACAACAGCTCTCATGGGGCAAGGGGCTGCAAATAGCAACATCCGCCTCCCGGCGCCATGGCCGAGTGCATCACCGAAGTCCTGGCACCCGTGCAGGAAGGAAGCTGGCAACGAAATGATGCCTTTCACTCGGGCTGACACTTCGCATCTGGAAGATGAAAACAGGATACTTACGGTTCAGTGCCCAGCAGTCCTCCTCTGTCGCGCATGCCCCGCGAGGCCACAACCTTCTTAAAATCCAAACAGCTCGCTGACTCGCTAGATGTGGCACCATGCTCTGACTCGCCACGCCCAAAGGGCGCTCAAAATGCCCGAAAGGCTTGTGGACAGCAGCTATTAACAGAAACCGCGCACACACCCAGTTAAGGCGCACACACACACACACATGCACGACATGTTGAAACATGACTTAGTTCTCCACTACCTATCCTCAAGCTCTGCATCATGCCAGCTATTCATGATACCTTGGCAGATCCAACTATTGCTGGAGCAGAGCACGCTCCAAGTCTCATGAGCCTCGATGGAGGTCGCTGGGCTGCACAGTTCGGGTACCTGAGCTGTCAGGCGGCTTGACAATAGCAAGCCTGGAAAGCATGAAGACTACGGAAACTCACTGAGTTTTAAGCCTTGACGAGCAAAGAGCCGCGGTTGAGCCTCCAGTCATGCTTAAGCACGTCTTGCTTGATGATTTAAAGAAGCAAATACGACGCGGAAAGAATGCGGCTGTTGCTGTCAGATTGGCAGGGACAACTCCTTGACACTCGTAAGGTCAGCCGTGTTTGTATGGTTTCAACCATGGCACCCACAGCCGACGAAGCCTTTGCCAGGCGATGCCTGAGGCACGGCCTGATCTCAGGACAGCCATTCTGATTCAAACTCAGCGATTACCAAAGCAAAAGGTCACACTGTCTGTTTTGGTTGCGGTACGTTGCCATCTATATCTGCTTTCGAGACATGGCACAACGCTGCTCATGGATGTGCACAAGCAAGAGCTGGGAGCCACACCGCGTAGAACAACTGGGGCCTTGCCCAAATAAAACGCCTGAATTTGCCAAGAAAACGTGTTGTGAACCCTCACGTTCTTTAGAACTTCTCATTTGTTCCAAGCTCCTTGGGGCATGAGAATGATCAGCAAACTGGGAATCCACGTCACTGGTCACCCCGAGCCTCAAACTGCCTGCGTGCTTCGCCCGGCGACTCGGCAAAGTCCAACTCTGGCCTCAAGCGTTTCATGCGAGCTATAGTCTAAAGTCAAAGAATCCCCGCTTGATAACCCATATAATACTCCCTCATATAATTCCCGATAAAATCCCTCTGAAAAAGAGTTCAAACTAGCTCATTGATTCAGTGTTTAGGTTGGTTTTGTAACGACACCGGAAATGTCATTTGCGCGTGAAGGTTGTCAATAACCCAATGACATGACATAGTGCGGATGAATTCACGAAGCCGCAACATGCCCAGTCTCAAATGTACTGAAACAAAATCGAATGCCAATAACTCCAACACGAAGCTTGCCGCAGCACACCTTTCGTGAGCAGAGCAATGATATCCAACATCGACGTCAACTTAGGCTGCGACAAATCACATGCCAAGCAGCCGGTCATGCCTCGTTAGCAATACGATAATATATGTTGAAGCTTCAACGAATCAATGCGATGGCAACTCGTAAACACGCGTGGATACTGCCGGACGCGCCACCAGCGCCAGCGGAAGCATGAAGCCCCACAGCTCCACCAATGACCACACAGCGCATTTACAAAACAATAAACCGGTTCTAAACAAAGCTCGTGCAATAAATTGCATCATCGGCGGGATGCTGGCGTAACCTTTCCAAAAGCTGTGCTGTGAGTGGAACCCGGTATGCCACTGATGAAACACCCAAATTGTTCATGTTATAAACTGTTGGATAAGAATCGGGGGCACAAACTCACTATCCCGAATACACCCTCGGCCTGGGCAAGAAAAGGGTATCTGACGTGGAACATTGCCTGACCAAAAACAAGGGGCACTACTAATGACACCAGTGCTCAAGAAGTTTGTTGATAAAATGTTGCAGTACCACAAAGAATGGAAAGCTACGCACCTACTGTCACTAGTTTACACCTGTGTACTGCACCAAGTTTGAACAAAAATGCGCATGCAGCACTCGAATTCTGTTGCACATCGAACGAATTACAATTGAAATTGCAGAAAAACTTGGGTGAATCACAACGTGAGTGAAAGCATTGAAGTCTGCGAAACGCTGATTTTTGTCATGTTTCCACGAAGGCACAATCCGGCACGTCCATGCATGCAATATCATCGTCATTACCAGTCAAACCACTCAACTGGCAAGTAAACAAAAATTCAGTAACATGGAACAACCATACGACTCTCAGCGCAACACTCACTATGAACAACTCCAAAAGCACCTATTGTTCAATTGCACGCATTCTGCATTGCAACAATTATTTGACAAACAGGTGCTGGCGAAACCCCCTAACAGCATGGATGGAACCCTGCGAATGAAAGCTAAAATTGGCGTGTAACGCTTATCTGATTAGAATCCGGAGAAAACAAAGTAGCAACAATTCAAGAACTACAGAAAACATTTACATACCCACTTAAATGCATAAGTGGCTGGATTTTTGTTTTTCTTGGCTTTGGTTCTGCAACCTTGAGCATCATGGAACGATGGTCTGCTTTTTGCATCCCTGGATTTTAGTTTGAGCGCCTCGGGCAAAGAATACCAACGCTGCAAGACACTACTGCAGCTCAAGGTGTTTTGAATCTTGTACGTTTGGAGTTTAGTGCTAAGGATCAAGGTTGACGGTTCCGGGGTTTGACTGGTAAGATTGTGCTCCCGCATTTTAACCTGGCACGATTTTGGGTTTAGGGTGTAAGGTTGAAAGATAAGGATGGAAGCATCTTCAGCCCGACCTTGAGCTGCAAGTTTAGCTCCGCCGATTTAGCCCCCAACTCAGCCACCGGCAGCCCACAGCTCCAAGCCGCGTGTCGCCCATCCAGGCGGTCAATCCAGCCGCCGCAGGCCCACAGGTCCCAGCCGCGCCGCTGGCCATCCAGATGCCGCGTTTTGCATTTCTTCTGAGGAGAGGACCCTGAGACCCTGAAAGTTTTAGACCAAATCTTAAGGTCCACTCGGATCCTATCTTACCCCACTCCGACCTAAC